GGAGGTGGGCTCCTGAGGGGGTGGGAGCGTTGCTCCCTCCCTTGGTGGGCAGGCTCCTTCGCTGATCCGATCCAGCGCTGCCCCGGCGCCTCCGGAGCGATTCATGCAGAGCAGCGGATGGTGTGCACCCTGGCAGTACCTACAGTTGGTGCTTGAAGGGCACTCGCACCTGATGCGGCCCCAGGCACCGAAAACACCAACGCCTCTGCTGTGCCACACCCCGTCTCCTCTGAACCCGCTGCGCAGCAAACTCCTGACACGCTGCCACCCCGTGGCCTGTCTCCTTGCAGTAGGCACACCCTGATTCCAATGCGGTGTTGTACCGCCTGGGTTGCCCACTGTTGCCTCCTCGCGCCGGTGCACCCGGCCGTTCCGGGTGGCGAGGGGCAGAGGTCTCTTGCGAGGGGCTTCACCAGCCTGGACGTCCACTCGCCTGCTTTCGGCCTCGAGGAACGACTTCAGATCCTCGTAGGTCGGGAGGTGGTCCGAGGACTTGCCTCCATGTAGCTGCTCGAATCGAGCGACCATTTCGCTCGGCAGGCGGCGAAGCACTGTGTGGACCAAGATATAACCGTAGCCCGCCACTGGCAAACCCTGTCGCTCCAGTGCGCTGACCGCGACGCTGACTGGGTGAAAGATTTTCTCGCGGAGGTCCGTACCTCGCGTTATGGTTGGTATTGACAGCCACTGGTCTAACAGCCTGTCTACAATCAGGCGCTTGTTCCGATACCGGTCGGTAAGGATCTTCCACGCCACCTCATAATTGCTATCCGAGACAGCCAAATGCGTCAGCAATTCATGAGGCTCTCCATGTAGCCTGGACATCAGCTGAGCCATCTTGTACGCCGGCGTTATGTCCGTCCGTGTGTGGACCACGCTGCTATACAGGTCCTCAAACGCCGGCCAGTCGGCGTAATCGCCTGCAAAGACTGGAACCGTAACAGGCGGAAGAGGCACCTGTAATCCTTGTCCCACCTTACCACGGAATGGCTTTTCCTTTCCGTCACGTCGCCTAGATATGTCCGCAGCTGCCTGCGCAATGTCCTGTGCCAGCTCCAAGCACTGGCTTACATCGCCCTCAACCAGCTCCTTATCTTCAGGGTTAGGAGCTTCCTCAAGGAGCATGAGGCACTCTGTGAGGTGTTCCGACACAACCCGAACCCGTTCATCTGCCTGTAGTGCACTTTTCAAGAGCGCGTCCTCCCGGTCCTCGCGGCCGATCATTGCCGCTGTGGTAGTAAACCACCTTAATTCTGTCTTTATAGCAGCCTTATACCTGGCGATCGAGGAGCCATGGTACCAACTTTTACACACTCGACTTAATAAAACGAAAACCAATAAACAAATACCACAAAATAAATGTTAGTTGACTGGCCTAGACCTTACCGATAAGGTACCGTTCACTAGGCAAACAATACAGTCACAAAAAAACCGAAACAATATTTTCCAAAATTAATAAAATATGTGGGTAATATAAAAACACGCTTAATACTAAATTACGGCTAACTATGTTGCAATAAAGCAACCACGCTCTGCTACCAAAAATGTTTGATTCCGAAGCTGATCTTAGCGCAGTGGAAGCAAATTAAAGTTATCTTAAAATCTAAAACTAAATGGTCGATCAGCCTCGAACAACATTTGACTACGATTCGTAGTGCTCTTTACTATAGCTAAATAAAATAAATTTAATGAGAGAATTCTGCTCCGGAAAGTTTCCGGCCGAGAAATTCTTGTTTCCAAAATCTACTTAAATAGGGCCCAGCAACGAATTGCTTACCGAGCGAACGATGACGCCGTCGTTTCCTTGTAAGTCTAGTTTTTGACAGGAAAAATAGGTATCAGGTTTGAGGAAGACTTTGGATTGGGACTTAGGTACTAGACTTACTGCACCGGGCACCAGCTCGTGTGGCACTCCGTCCCTCCGACAGTTTTGGCTTCACCTCAGTTCATCACTCCACCATTCACCAATTCACAGTTCGACATCAACAATGTTTTCAACACAAAAACAACTAAAGATTCCTCTCCGAATGAGGAATCGGCCCCGTTGGCCCCCAATCAAGAAAACAATCAAAAAATATATGGCTATCGGCAGCCGCGACGCGAGCGACGACTTAAAGTGAGGTTATGTTACCGGCGACCACGTTGGCCTCAATCAAAAAGCCGGAACCAAAAATCACTTGGTTCACTTCCCCACCGAACAGGGAAAACCACACGAGAAAACCGAAAGCACACTAAATTACTTATTTATAATTAAACTTCGCATCCACGATGCGGGCGACGGCAGAGGACGTGACAAGATGACAGACGGGACGGACCGAAAAGTGTTGCCAGCACCGTCCGCTCAAAAAGATACGAAACCGTTTTTGATACGAAACTAAACATTTGCTATTGTCATCAAGTTGTCATTTGGCAAAAGGAAGTATACCCGCACACCCGCAACGTACTCTTCGTACGCGCTGAATAATGCGGATGGCCTCGCACACCTAGCCGCAAGCACAGCCGCATTGAATAGAGTTGGTGTTGCCAAGAGAGTACTTTCCTCCCAATTTAATGTGTAATTTTGCCGTATGTGTGTATTTTTCGGAATTTTATTTCAAATAATAATTGCTGTCATTTTACGCCAAAGGCACGTTCAAGCAGCCAACTTTCGTAACTGCAGAATTTTCTCCGTATCCAACTGTATTATATATATCCAATTATATATATCCAACTGATCACTTCTACAGTAGAACAGTTCGGAATATTTTCTACGTTCTATGTTCTACGGTGGAACAAAACTTTTGAACATATTACAGGTCCCGCTGTTTCAACTTTTAAAAAATATTATTGTTCAAGGAAGTAGAATTTGCAGAAAAGCAAAATGTAAATACGTCAAAGTAGCAAAATGTAAAATTGCTAGAATGTAAACGTAACAAAATGTAAAGAAGAAGCGGAAAACATTTTGTGCCAATGTCTAAATGTTAAGGTAACAGAATGTCAATTGAATTTAAAAGGACGGAATCTCAAATATTAAAATGTCAAATAAGCAAAATGTGAAAATGTCATTTGGTTATTCTTTAAGTGTGACATAAACTCCAAAACCTTCGAAACTTTAGTTAAGAAAAACTGGAACACGGACGGTGAACAGCAGACTTTACTGGGAGGTAATGTTGATGGGACAGTCTGGCAGCATTGACAAAAACTAAATCTTTTTAAATGGTTACACTGTCCGCGTGCGCTCATGACGTCATCAGCATTATAGTCTATGATTTGCACTGGCTTAGATTAGACAGCCGATGTGGCGCAGTGGTTAGTATGCCTGCCTGCCACGCAAAGGTTCCGGGTTCAATTCCCGGTGGGGTCAATCACAAAGTTGATATTTATCACTTTGTGAATTTGTTCCCAGTCTGGTTAGGACATTGCAGGTTGAACCACCTGATTGTCCGCAAGTAAGATGGTTCCGTGTTTCGGATGGGCACGTTAAGCCGTCGGTCCCGGTTGCTGTCTATGATGGCGGTCGTTACACAACCATGTCAGAGGCCTGATACTTGTAGTAGGCGGTTGAAAAACTCTGACACCAGGGTTCATCGGGTCGTTGAACGACTCGGTGTCCCACACGAAAAAGAGAAAAGAGCACTGGCTGGGGAATCCGTTCGGTTAGGCGCGTGCGGCTCGACAATATTTTCGAGGTTCCACAGATTTTCATACAAAGAATCCAAAATTCGGCGAGTGCGTTGTGGGTGTGCGGGTATAAATACTTTCACCTTATAACTCTTATCAAAATACTTAGTTAGGTTATGCCAATTTAGGTTAAGAATTATTTTGCGTCGTTTCATCAGTTTCCCGTTAGATAATTAAAAACTAAGTATGCCACCATGATCTAGATAGCGTAAGAAATACATTACTATGAGTTTAATTACTAGCCATTTCGATTTAGGCCCCCATTTCGAGGGGCCTAACCTTGTATGGGCATATGATTATCACCTTTTTTGAAATTTTCATTTTCTTAGTTACATTTATGAGAATAATACGGCACTAATACCTACACTGACTATAGCATACTCAATCATTACCTTTCAGTGTACTTCCTACTGAATCACAATTACAAGGAAATAGCTATACTTGGTGGGTACACGTTCTACATTCAGTCGAGGAGCAAGACGTCTCTGATGTGGGCCTGTTCCTCCAACAACTCCAAGAAGTGCAAGGCAAGGTTCAACACCACCTACGACAGACAGATGATGAAAATGTCCTTGGATCATACGCACGATCCACCCAAATTTACTATCGAAGATGGAATTTTACATCGCCATTAATAATCCATTTATATGTATCCGAAAATTAGCGAAAATACCTAAAATGTCATGTCATCTTTAAACTAGAAACCTTAACCACAGATTACCTAATAGTTACTACGTAACAGATAAATCACTCCATGGAAAAATTACAATACCTACTGCTATAATTACCTACTCTTTCGAGCCGCTAGACGCTGCAAGCCAAAATGAACCAAAGCCGATGAGCGTACGTAAAGTTAACTTTGCCCTGTAGATGCGCGCCGCCACGTGATTAGCGTGGATCGCCAGGGCTGCCTCTTCCGTTAAGTAAGGTGTACCAAATAAATAACTGAAAACATTTTAAGAGGTGAACCAGCTCATGATAAAACTGATTAATTTACCCCAAGAGGTATAGGAATTATGAAAAATAATTATGAAATCCTGTACAAAGTTGGCTCGGATCGAAGAAGAAGTTGTTTTTTTTAATGAACCTATGTTCCTTGAAGAAAACTGTCCAGTTTAATGGACTGGTTCACACCTTATAATATTTGCAGTTTTGTTTTAAACTATTTTCTTTATTGAATACCAAATTTTTATCGCGGGTTTTCATCGCTTTGACTACATTCAATCTGTAAAGAATGAATTAGTTGCTGGGAATTAGTTGCAAAACTATCCCGGTAGATGGAGCCCATCCACGCGATAGTGGACAAGATATACTTCCATAATTTCGCGGGCTCGATTAGAACCGCGGTAGCCCAGTTGGTTTCGGCAGTACTAATGCCGAAGGTCGCAGGTTCAAATCCTGCCTGCGGTGAAAATTTTGGAAGTTTTCCAAAAATTTTCTTTATTATGTACCAGATGTACCTACTATTTTCGGAAATCTTGCAATACTTTCACCGCAGGCAGGATACTTCTTTCAGCAAGCACATACTTCCAATACATAATTGATATGGCATGTTATAATAATGGCATAACGATAAATCAGGGTAACTCAAAATATTCACAAGCGAACGCACGCTCCACGCGGCTGTTGGCAACCAACTGAGAAATGGGCAGCCGGCTGCCCGGCGCCCGGTAGGTACTTATCGCGCGCAAGTACATGGAGTGAAAGAGGCCTGCCTTAACTGACTATTAAGGTAGGCAGAAATAATAAAATTCGTATACCTTGCAACGCGTTGCAAACTTGGTACACGGAGTTCTGTCAGCATAATATTCTTTACGTTACGTTCTTACTTTAGCCTATTGTTGGGATCACCTAATACTTGGATTAAATTAGAATTTGTTGTTGTTAACCATAATATGGTAAGCGAAGACTTAAGTAGGTAAGTATTATTAGTAGGTATATATTTATTCAAAATTATTTGCACGTTTTATACATTTAATTATTAGTCTTCCTAAAAATAAGAAAATAATATTTTATTTTTTAAATTATATGGTCTATCTCTTTTCGGATCATCCTCATCCACCTAAAGTTTCTTATATTTACCCAACTGGACATGGTAGGTATTAGTAACATCACGGAAATAACGTGAATCAAACCGATCATTATATAAGGTCCTATTAAATTCACTGCAAATATTTTAAGGGCATGCGTAAATATGTATAAGAAAAACATCTAAGGCATTTTTAAAAATTACAAACTTTTTAATTAATTACGTGAACATCCTTTGACTGACCCGACTGACCTTCCACCACGTAGATAGGATTCACTTACACGGCACACACACTAACAACCAACCAATCACAGCACCTTTTTTTGGCGCGTAAATTAAACTCATCGAAGTAGCGTTAGTGGTGTGTTTCTGGGACAAACAGGGTGCACTTTTTTCGGTTTGTGTTTTTTTTAGTTAAATGCAATTTTCTCGAAAACTACTGTGTAGATTTTTTTTTTAATTTTCCTAGTACATGCTTTTATTTTATTTGATCTGCCCCTGAAATTTTTGCAGTGAATTTAATAGGACATTATATACCCGAATATAACCCGATCTTCTTATTATCGGTTACCAATGTACCCGACAATACTGGTAATGCTTTAGGCCCCATTTCCGCACATGAGACATATCGACCCTCGAAACCGTTTTCATATAAATTAATGTATGAAACAAAAGAAACGCCGTTTACACTGGTGTCACGTGACGCCGGCTGACGATCACTTGCTGACAAATGTCATCTTACGTCTCGCGTCTCTTGTCTCCTGTGTGAAGATACTTATCGATGAAAAAACATAACACTGGCTAGTGTACAACAGTACAATATTTCTGAGAAGTTATTACCTAGTTTTTTCCTTATTCGTTTATAACTAGCTAAACTTAAAAATATGGCTTTGCTTAACTACCCTCCAAGTCAATTACTTCAAGAGTTACACCTTGTAAAGGAGGGGGGTGGTAAAAGGTTAAGGGGGGGTGGAGCCCGCTGGGCTCCATGTCTAATTTTGATCAGGAGGTCAAGGAGTACCTTCATGCCGATTTTCAGCTTCATGGGTCAATCCGAATAGCTGTGACGTTAGTTACTAGACTATTCAATCAACTTTGTATGACTGCAAAGCTCTAGTGTCATAGTCGACAACACAGCATAGGCAATGGGAAAATAAAAATACATACCCTGATTTCCGCTGACCTTTTGATCACGGTGCGGAATGGACGAAGTACTTAGGATATAAGATTATAATTTGATAATTGGTGACGTTGATTCTTAAAAAGATGCCTTATTCTTTATTATTATTTTTACTACGGCAGAAGGAAGGTTATTTTAAGAACTTTGTGTTTCTTAATCTTATTAATATATACTTTTGAAATGATCAGGATTTTATCATTGTTTTCTATAGTAAGGGCAAAATTTAAGTGTAATTTGTACAATTGGTAAGAAGATTCTCCTCGAATTGAATTGACCGTAACAGTTATTTTTTCAGAAATAACTTGGGTGCGCAATACCACAGGGAAGCAGCTAGCCATCTACCAGGGTCACAGTTTCTTCCAGCAGGTGCAGAGCAAGTCGACCAAGTTGTGGTACTGCACCAGGACCAGCAGCAAGTGCAAGGGGCGCTTCGTCACCGCCTTCGACGGCTCCTTGATACGCGTCATCGACCACCACCACAACCATCCCCCGCCCAAAGTAATTCGAGACGGAGTTTACTTTAAAATATAAATAGTAAAGATAGAAATAGTCTAAATGAACTTTCGTCTTCTCTGCTTCATACATTTTACATTGATATGGTTTCAAGTCTCGCGATGTCTCATGTCTCAGGTCTCCGCGTCATGTCTTACGTCTCACCTATTGAGTTAGCGTCTAATATACTGTGCGTATTTTATTAGTTAGTAGCTTTTCACGCAACAGATGTATCATTTATTTTCTGTATCATCTAGCTAAAGAATGGGTACTTATATTTACCTACGTAACTATAGTAAATCAGGACTTGCTTTTCGACAGGTACCTACTTATCATCTTTTACGTTGCAGAAATAATGGTTTACAAGACCTCTTCCGGCAAAGAAACAGCCGTCGTCGGCGGCTTCTCTTACTACAAACACCAGCGCACGAAGACCCTGGACCACTGGTACTGCACGGCCTTCAACTCGCGGCAAGGGTGTAAGGCTCGAGTTTTCACTGAAATAAACACGAAAAACATCGTCCGCATCAAGAACGAACACAACCATAAACTACCCGAGTTCGTTATTCATAAAAGGATTATTTGTTAGACTAACATCACGAAGTTCAGAATAAACCTCTACAAAAATTAGCATACGAAGGCTCGTATCAAAGCCGAACACGATCTTCAACCACCTAAGTTAAAAAATTTAATAAATTGATGGTTGATTAGACTTTAGACTATAATTAAAACCTACAATTGTGTTTAATTGCTTTTGTTCCTTGCATGTCGGTAACATCAGCAGCTCCATGAATTACCCTTTGTAGGATATGTGGGTTCCACCTCGTGACCCATCCATACCATACCTAAATTTACTGGATGTATGTTAATCACAAGATTCGATAACTCGAGTAGTAGCTAATAGTAGAAAGTCACACAATCGAAATTATCACAGGTAGAACAGTCATTTACAATCCTAACCTTATTAAAATATTTTTGTTTTATGTAAAAAGTACCTACAATATGTAAATCATTTCAGTGACTTTGGTTCGCAACTCATCTGGCAAGGAACTTTTACTGTTCGACGGATTTACTTATTTTCTACAACTACGACAAAAGAAGTCTGATCGATGGGCGTGCACCAGTCAACGAGGAGTGAGACGCTGCAAAGCTCGCATCATGATGACCAAGGACAAACAAATAGCAAGTCTACCCTCAGAGAAACATACTCACCCTCCACCAGAGTTTGTAATTCGGAATGGAGTTTACATAAAAGTATCATAAAGATTTTTTAATGATACTGACTAAAGTACTAATAAATACCTGCTTCTAATCTTATTTTATCTTCATTAGCAGCTGGTCAAAGGCATTCTTTTTTTCTTTTGGTCTTAATTAGCTTTTGTCCTCCAAGTGCCAATTTTTACTAGGTAAATGCGTCCAGCTCGTCGTGCCACCTGTAACGGGGTCTTCCTCGGCGTCGGCTCGATGAGGGTAGTTTCCACACGATTTATTACCAGAAATACGACCAACGTGACCAGACAATTCCCATTTAAGCTTGGCTGCAGCACGGGCAGCATCAGCAATTCACGTCTTGGAACGCAGTATGCTATTCCTGACCCGGTCAGTCGGTCAGTCCGCTTCAGGCCTAATATACTGCGCTCCATGGCACGCTGACAAATCTTGAGGCTGGACCTTTGAGCTTCCGTCAAAGATGAAGTTTGAGCACCGTAAGTTACAATAACCTGCATTCGCAGATATTTTTTGATTTATGAATTAGCTAATCTAGAAACCAGATTACATCGGGTCGTCGGTCAGTTGTCTCATTGTCCCCAACGTCAAGAAATAGGTAACTTAATTTAAGAAATAATATACTTTGTTATTTCTTAAACTTGGCTGTAAATGTTAGATTACTAAGTATTTTATTATAACTTACAGTAATATGGACCATCAATTTAGCTGGAAAACCCAAACTGATCTACAGAGGCCACTCTTTCTACCAGCAGCAGCAAAGCGAAACGACAGTGCGATGGGTTTGTACCAGAGGAAGCTCTAAGTGCAAAGCATATGTACTCACAACACTGGACAGGGAGATTTTATCCGTCAATGCTGAACACTACCATCCACCGCCTAGTTTTGTCATTAAAAATGGTTACTACTTAAAAATTTAACGGTACCAAAGTAGCTAAGTAAAAGAAAGAAGAAATAAGAACTCTTTTTGGTGCCTTATATCCAGTTTATTCTACTGTTAAAATTAAATAATGTGACTATTCGATAATATTTCTTAATTTTTTGTCACCTGTACTTCACCAATGCTCAAATGGCTGGAAGTGACGCGCAGAGGACATGCAGGCTTCTACAAAAACAAATGCAAAGGAATGGTCTCCACGTGGCTCTGCAACTGCTCGTCATCTGTCAGGATCACCAACAATCAAGTACCCACTTTTAACATTAACATGTTCTACATACAGGATGGTACCAAACGGCCTACTTTCCTGAAAATGCTAAGCTCAACAGGTCAACGGAAAAACTTTCCTTAAGGACTTTGAACTTTGGTCCTTAGGGAAAGTTGTTCAGTTTGACATATTGTGCTTAGTGTTTTTGGGAAATTGGGTCATTCGGTGACACCTGTATTGCCTAGGTATTACAGATAGATGTATGTATAAGCTGTTCAGAATTAGACTCATACTCTTGCATTGTGTCTCAGTGGCCTTATAAATTGAAAATTTCCAC